GCTGCTCTGTTGTGTCCCAGATTCTGAAGGAAGCCAAGCCAGTGACAGAAAAGCACACCAAGCCCTCTGTTCCATCCACASTGAGGAGAGCACTATCATTGGGTTTTTCCACTGTTGCCCAAGCGGCCACACGGACTTTTTTCTTCTGTTTCTTTTTCCCAGGGACAGGAAMCATGCTATCTTTCTCTGCACAACTGGTCAAGCGGCTGTGGGGGAAGGGGGTGGCATGCATTCCTGGACATTTAAATATCTAACAGTTACCTTTTTAATCTGTGTCCTCTGGGCACTGTGTTTTGTTAATAAACAACTTTTTTTTCATCTTCACTTTTGTCCAAACATCTGTTTCATATTGGTGGGAAAAAATTATGAAATTTTTCACTTCAAAGCAAACATTTACTCTGTAACATTTTTTCTCTGAAAACATTGTCTCAAACCGAGACAGAAGTATTAATTACAGTAAATGTTGTATGCAACAGAGTGTAGAGAGAACAGCCTGATTGTTTGCTGATAATTACTTTCCAAAATCTAATTGTTGGAGAGTAACACACATTGATAAACCAGCCAATGAAGGAGCCTTGGCTGTTGTCCAAGGCCATTAAATGGACAAAGCCAGGCAAAACTGACTGAGAAGGAAGAGAACGGCTGTCTGACTAAGAACACATCTTCAATCTCCTCATCCACCAGCAAAAAAAAAAAAAAAAAAAAAAAAAAAAAAACAACATTTTTGAGGTTGATACTGGGGGTTCTACTACTGTATCAGACAACAGAGACCAAGAAGGCCCAAGAGAGTGTCCTCCCTCTCTCTACTAACCCACAGCAGCCAAACAGTCTGTCTGCTGCAGATATCTGCTACCTTTGGTACAGAAAAGGCATGAGTAATCAGTTAAGACCACCTCTTTTCATGATTATTTTTTAAATCATTCTTAAAATTGTGGAATCAGAAGCCAAACTGGCCACAAAGAGAAACTCCGGAGATGTGAAAAATTACTTCAATGAATTTGGGAGCCCTGTGCACACTGAGATTTTGTTTTGATCTTTCACTGGTTTAATAGTATGATAAGAGACTGCCTATAATCTTACAGACAAAATAATTTCCTTGGTTGCTGTGATATAGTTTCTTTGGTTTTCTGCATTTGTTTTGGGTTTGAGGTTTTTTGCGTGATTAGTTTTGCTTTTAAAATTATGTTTATGTGAGAATTAAGTATGCAGCTACTTCTATATAGGTCACCATTTCATAATTTGCATTGTTACCGCTGCAGTGGTATGTTAAATCCATTTCTTAACAATATAGAAAAATATGTCAGGCACATGTGGGACTGAGTAAATGTCAGAAATACAATGTYTCAGGAAACCTAGCTGGACTTACTACATGGGTGAAACATTTTCTTTTGGCAGGTAGGGGACCTTCTGACTGGTGTTTTGCACCAATCTGAAAAATCAATGAAAAGTATTATAAATATTCGACAGCTCCCACAGCAGGATACACTCTCAGGCTAAGAGCATTGCGTTCCAGTGTTTTGCTGTGTATTGCTTCGCTGTGTTTGCTGCTGGATTTCTACACTCGTATCAGGGAACTCCATGCTTGGCCTAAGTACAGAAATAAATGCCAGGAATGAATCTGGGGCTTGGTATCTAGGAAGGATGACTTTGCCAGCCTTGGGCAACAGGTGTTGCATGATCCTGTATTTAGAAGATTTTGGGGTGCTTCAGTGTCAGGGGAGGGCAAAGCGTTGAGTTGRCTGCCCTTCCGTTCTGACTTAAAGTTCTAAATTCAGAAATTAGATCAAAAACATGAAACCAGTCTAGAACCAGTTTATTGCTATTGGCTGCTACACTGAGATAGGAGTGAGGAATGGATGGGAGCACAGTGGCAAGTCAACGTGTACCGCATTCAGCAGCATGGGCACAATGACGCCAGAACAGCTGATGGCTGTGCTAGCAATCCCACCTCGGGCCTAGCTGGGGTGTGGGTCCCCTAACTGTAGCACACATCTACTGCACATGATGCTGCAGCCCCCAAACCAGTGAAACGTGTCAAAGCAGCTTGGACCTGGGAGTGACTCTGACTTAGTGGAAACTTCTAGGGGAGGAAGTAGGTGCCCCAGGTTCTCTGGCTGTACAAGGGCGCTTGTCCTAGTAATGGACCAGTGCATCGTCCCCATTATCTGTCTTGAAGTGTTTTATTATATAGAGGAATTGCCTCATCTCCAGGAGACAACTCCGGGGTTTCCTGGGGTTCCTACAGCCGCTTCCCCGGGGGCCGGGGGCGGGCGGCGGCGGGGGGGCCCACGGCTCACCTGAGGCGGTGGCGGTGGCCACGCCTCTCCCTGGTGTGTCTTTAAAGCCCTCCTCCTCCTCCTCCTCCTCCTCTCCATCCCTCCATCCCTGCCTCGCCGCTGCCGCTCGCAGTCGCCGGGCTCTGCCTCGCCCGCCTTCTCTCCCCACCCTCCCTATCCCTGTCGCCAGCCATGGCCGACATGAAGACCGGCATCTTCGCCAAAAACGTCCAGAAACGCCTCAACCGCGCCCAGGAGAAGGTGCGCTCCGGGGCGGGGGAACTGCTGGGGAGGGGCGGAGGGGGAAGAAGGGTACGGCGGCGGTRCCCGGGGTCCGCAAGAGGATGCAACCCCGTTCGCCCGCAGCGCCCACCGCTGTGGCTTCCCCTCTCGCAGCCCGCGGGGGCCGGGGCCGGGCCGGGCCGCCGGCGTTATTACGTAACTGACCCATTTCACCGCGCCCGCACTGGCCCGCGCGCTCCCCGCGGGCCCGCGGCGCTGCGGGCGGCACCTGCCGCAGGCCCGAGGTCGCCGCCGCACCCTCGCCCTTGAGGCGGCCTGGGCTGCCCGCGGGGGATGGTGCTCCGCTCCGCGGGCTGGACGCGCTGCCGCCCCGGGACGCGTGGGGAAGTGCGGGCTCGGTTTGGTTCGTCTCGCCTCGCCTCCCCGCCCGCCGCCAKCCCTCCTAAGAGGATTGCCTTTCCTTTAATATCCGCGCCGGCTCATCCTCTGCTGCGGCGATCCGCCTTGCTGCGCCCGCTCGGCAGCCGCGGCGTGACAGGCACCGCTACGTGTGATGACAGCAGCTCGCGGGGGTCGGGGTGCTGGCGCGGCCCGCTCTTTCCTCGGCTGCCCCTGCGGTTTTGGGGAGCTTCTTGGGATGTCATGAGGCTGACAGCATATGCTGCTTGGGAAAGTCTGTACCGATTCTAGCGTTGGTGTAGCCTGGAAATGAACAACGGGTGAAGTCGGGGAGCATTTGCAGGAGYTGCTGGCCAAAGACGAGGGCCTTATTTAGCCACTGTTTGGTTTGTTCATCTTCATTGATGACAGCTGATAAGTATAAATGCTGTGCACAAATAGCTCCTGTCTAGTAGTTAGATTTCTCAAAACAGGACCATAGGTACAGCTACTAAGCCCAGCAGAAAAACATTTGTGTATGACTATATATAGCAGCCGTGTCTGCTGTTAACACAGTTTGCAGTAAAGCTGCTCCCAGYGTGAATTTTGCAGATATAGTTGTCAGTAAACGTTGCAAGTCATCCCTTTTGAGGGCTAATAAAACCTCTATACTGCTCTAGCTTATATCCTKTTATGTTACCTTAGGTAATAGGTCTCTGGAGAATTAAGAGATACTATTTTATGAGCATATTTCTTATACTTCAGTGCCTATAAACCCCCACTTTCTTTTTTCGCATGCACTGAATTCTGTGGAGCTCCAATGGCATACAAAAAGGCAACAATTAATATGTAGAAAAGTCATACATAATCATGTTATTATTTAAGAATCTCATAGTTGAGGCTGTCACACACTAGTGATTAATTTTCCCTTTCAAGTACTCCTGTCTAGCTCACCAGGTTATAAAGTTCTAGATTTTTCAACACCAAAGTCATGTTGTGTTTCCATTCTTGCAGGTTTGGACTGCCAATGTTTTTAAGTAAAACACATAAATAATCTTTAATAGTTGGAAGAGATCTGATTATTTTATGATGTGAGTTGGCTTGAGTTGGTAGTTGGAGTAGAAGCCTAAAAATACTGTTTGTTTCCTTGTGTCTTTGTCAGTGTGGTTATTATTAACCATCTGGAGAAGCACTGGTGCAAGACTTAATCATATGTACTGCTTCAAGCTGTGTCTGTTCCAGTGTGCGGGTCCTGCTCACAGAAATGTGTGGGCATACCAGACAGAGCACCTTAATGTAAGTGCCTGAGGTACCCCACACGTCTCAAAGAGYGCTCATGCACCAGCCCTAGGATAGGTGCCTTGAGCCTGACAGGTGCCTTGGGTGCAAGTCGAAGATGCTGTTGTGCTCTGACAGATTGTGGGTTCTTCCTTCACTTCCGTGATCAACCATACAAACCAGGGGAAAATTTGCTGATTTATTCTTCATGTATTGCAGCCAGGCATCTGGCAATTTTTGCCTCATTATGGTATTTGTGGTGATAATTTCTTATGTCACTGGTCTAAAAGTTGCTTATTTACAGGGTTATTTACAAGATGTTAGGGGCCTTACCCAGAGTAGGTCACAGTACCATGTAGCTCTGTATCCTTGCCTCCTTCTTCCTGGCACACATGTTGTTACTGCATGAGCTGTGCACATCTACTCTTTCATGTCTGCGTTTCTGGTTAGCTTTAAGTTCCTTTATGTCTATATAACATAAAATCCTTCATTATTTCTGCTTAAACTTTACTCAGAAAAAAAGTCATTGAATGGGAATGATTGAGTTTTTTTATTGGTTTTGGRTACTTGATGACAACAAGTACATTTTATCTAGGAGTTTAAAATGTGTGGTTTGTCTCGTTCTTGATGGTGTGAATAGGATAGCATTGTGACAGCTTAAAGAGATTTTAAATAYATAGAGTTTTTTTATCTTGATGCGTGTATTGCATTTGTGCACCTTCAGTTTACTGAATATGTCCTTATGGATCAATGCTTTTATAAAGCATTTTTGCATAGTTTTCTAATATTCATTATTGATTCAACATACATATTAAAAACATGGAATGGCTCAAAACGTTAACTTTCATTTTGGATTTAAGTAAAGATTTTGATACTGTCTCTCACAGATTCATTGTGGATAAAATGTCCAGCTCACAGCTAGATAAACACATCATGCAGTGGGTAAGCAACTGGCTCACRGGTCAGTATCGAAGGGTTACAGTCAATGAGGTGACAGACTGGTGACTGGTCACTAGTGAGGTTCCACAGGCTTCATTCTCAGATGAAGAGCCTTGTGGCTCTTCAAACTCGTCCTTGAAGAGCCCTGTGCTCTTCAACATCTTCACAAATTACCTGGACTCAGGACTGCAATGGGTACTAAGCAAGTTCCCAGATGATACAAAACTGGGAGGAGCTGTTGGCTCCCTTGAAGGTGGAGAGGCCCTGAAGAGAGACCTCTTCAACAAATCAGAGGGCTGGGCAATCACCAACCATATAAAGTTCAGTAGGGGAAAGTGCTGGATTCTGCACCAGGGATGGGACAATCCTGGATGTACAGACAGGGGAACAAGCTGCTGGGAGCAGCACCACGGAAAAGGGCCTGAGGGTCCTGGTTGATGGCAAGCTGAACATGAGTCAGCAGTGCCCTGGCAGCCAGGACGGCCACCTGTGTCCTGGGGTGCATCAAAAAATGCCCTCCCAGCCGGGCAAGAGAGGGGATTGTCCCGCTTTGCTCTGCACTGGGGTTGCCTCACCTCAAGTGCTGTGTGCAGTTTTGGRCACTGCAATATAAGAAAGATATTAAGCTATTAGAGAGCATCCMAAAGAGTTAACAAAGGAAGGACCTTGAGGGAAAGCTTCAAGGATGAGGAGCAGCTGAGGTCACTTCATCTTTTCTGCCTGGAGAAGAAGGGACTGAATGGAGTCCTTATGGCAATCTACAAATTATTCATGAGGGCAAGAGGAAAGGCAGACACTGAAATCTTCTCTGTGGTGACCAKTGACAGGACCCTAGGGAACAGCCTGAAAATGTGTCAGGGGAGGTGTAGGTTGGCTAATAGAAAAAGGTTCTTCCCCCAGAGGGTGGTTTGGTGCTGGAACAGACTCCCCAGGGAAGTGGTCACAGCATCAAGCCTGACAGAGTTCAAGAAGTGTTAAGACACTACTCTTGGGCACATGGTGTGACTCTTGRGGATAGTGCTATGCAGGGTCGGGAGTTAGACTCAGTGATCCTGTGGGACCCTTCCAACCCAGTTTATTCTATGGTTCACTGATTTATTTATGCAAATTGTTTTTCTAATGATGCTATCATYAGCTTCAGTTCCTTGCTGTCTAGGAGAAATTTCAGTTGTACAGTGTAGGTAGTGCATGTGCCTGTATTTTGTATAGTCACTATTTATATGATAAAAGCTAAATAACTGGAAAATCTCATATTGACCAGATCTGTCGTGCATTAGAAGTATTAAATMTGAGAGTTATATAGAAATAATAATTGGCCACTCTGTTTTTTGCATAATCCAGTGATGGTGCTTTGTGTGGTAACACATGTGCCCTGGCACCCTGATTTTGAATTAATGAATGTTCCATCCATTAAAATCCACTTGTCATCACATTCCTTCAATGACTTTTCACCCAAAATGTAGCCAGTGTAGACATGCTGAGCTTGCACCATGTTAGAATCTGCCAAAAGTTAGCAGAAGAACCTGGATTAAAAATTTGAAAGGACCAGATCAATTTAGGAGAGTACATCCCAGCCATAAAAGTTAATAAAATACCATTGTGTTTAAATGTCTGTTTAAAATGAAACTAGAACCAATGATTTGGTAACCAAGGCTGGCTGAGTCAATTCTAAGGACAAGATAACTTGAATGAAAGGGCTGGGTTTGTATGTCCAGGTTTCTCTGGAAAATTCTGTTTAAATTGATAACCCAATATATAACACTAGTTGTCTCCTTGTCCTCTCTTCTATAACCCTACAATTGAATAGTTCAGCTGGAAGAGACCTAAAATTACCATCCAGTCCCATTGCCTGATCATTTCAGGGCTGACCAAAGTTAAAGCATCACTTTAAGGGCACTGTGCAAATGCTTCTTCAGCGCTGAGAGGCATGGGTGGGAAGGCATTGACTACCTCTTCAGGAAGCCTATTCCAGGTTTTGGTCCTCTTCCGGGTCATGAAATGTTTCCTCATGTCAAGTGTGAACATCCCCTGATGGGTGCACCTTTGAGCCATTCCCCACGTATCCTGGCATTGGGAGAGGAAGAAGAGCTCAGCACCTCCCTCTCCACTTTCCCTCCTCAGGAAGCTGTAGTGAGTAATGAGGTCACCCCTCAGCCTCCTCCTCTCCAAACCAGACAAGCCCAGTGCCCTCAGCCCCTCCTCAGAGCCTATTCCTGCCAGCCCCTTGCCCTGCTTTGGTGTCCTTCTCAGGACACGTCCAAGTACCTTCCCATCTTTTTTAAGTGGTGGGGCACAGAACTGCACAACACTCGAGGTGAGGCTGCACCAGTGCTAAATTCAGTGGGATCATCACCTCTCTTGGCTGGCTGGTGATGCTGTGTTTAATGCACCCCAGGACAAGGTTTGCTCTCCTGGCTGCCAGG